AAAGATGTAGAAAGGAGGAGTAGCATGGGCTTGGCAGGTATCCATCCCCTAATCTCTATTAGCACCACCATGCTGGGGAAATCCCAAATGTCCCCAGGTTATAACTGACAGTGGTGCCTACTGGTTTTCTATGCAGATCCTTAGAAAAAGCTCAGTAGGTTGATTTGATTTTTTTTTTTTAAGAAAGATTTTTGCTATAGGGCACCTGCACTCACCAAAGAGATGGAGAGAGATCCAGGGAAACAGAAGGCTAATAAATGACCCCCAGGGGAAGTGGCCACACCACAATCCCTTCTCCTTCATTCTCCTCTTGGGATTTTGGGCACACACGTACACACACTCAGCCTGAGTTTTAAGTCACCAGGTCCAGGACTTAAACTACAGTCAACTACATGTGAGTCCAGTGACATAGCTATTATGCTGTCTGCTGGTCCTAGGTTGATATAATTTTTAAGTTATTGTTATTTTTAAAAATGTCCACATAAATTTTTATTTATTAAATTTTAGAAATCTCTTTATTGAAGTATAATTTACAGAGAGAAATAAACATCCATAGAAGTGTAGTACTCCACCTGCTTTATTTTTAAAGAAGAGTGTAACAGGGCCAGCAGGTGGCAGGGTGATTACGCTGTTTGAGACCTGGACCCAGAGGCCTGAGAAACATGCCTGGGCACATATGCGTGTTTGCCCAAAATCTTGGAGGAGAAGGGATTGCAGTGTGGCCATTCTCCATGTAGGGTGATTTCTCACTTTCTCTCTCTCTGTCTCTGCAGTGAATGCACTCACCCTATGGCAAGAAATCTAAAAACAAAAAGCCAGCTTGACAAAAATATCTACCCATGATGATAAAATAAATTGAGGGTGAGGGAAAAAATAAAACCTATGGAAGAATTCTACATTTAAAAAGAGAAACTAAATATTAATGTTTTCCATTTTATATATGGATATATTGAGAACAGAAACTAGAGAATGGGCAGGGGGCATGCGTGTAAGAAGTCCTTAAGTCCATGGTCTTGATTTCCCATCTTTTAAAAACATTTTTATGTATTCATTCATTTATTTTAATTTGACCAGACACACACACACACACAGAAGAAAAGTGAGAAAGCAAGCTACTAGGACCAGGACTCAAACCATGGTTGACCATGTGGGAGTGTCCAGTGCTTTAACCACCATGCCATCTGCTGGTCCTGATTTCCTGTCTTTTGTATTCTACATTTTTAGTTTTCCCTTTCAGCCTTTCATTTTATATCAGTGGAAAGTGAGTGTTTGGGATGAGAAGGTCCTATTTGGGGGTGTGCCAAATCTTCTTAGAGGTGATTCCTGATTTATTAAGGGCTGCTTAGCAGTCTATGGGACATTTGAGTGAACTCCAGTGTTTGGATCAGAAGTGAACCCTGAAATGCTGAGGGTAGGAATGGAGGAGAAAAGGGCTTTCCCTCATTGAAATTCTTCCTTAGTAATAGGGACAGTTACCCTCTGGTGGGTGCTTGGTGTGTTTCTGGAAGATCTAGTCTACATGTGCATGATTTTAATGAATCTTTGTAAAGATGAAGCTGGTTCTTGATCATCTTCATTTTGAAGATGAGCATACCAAGACTCCATAAGGCCTCTTCTTTTTAAAGGATTATTTATTTTTAATTTTGATCAGAGCTCTCTCTGAGAGATAGAGAGGGAAAACAAGTTCCAGGTTTGGAACTTGAATGATGGTCAGCCATGGGGGAATACAACACCTCAATCACCATACCACCTGTTGACCCCCACTAAGCCTCTTGCTTGTTATACTGGTAGTAAGTGAGGGAACTTGGATTTGAATTCTCTCCCCTTGTCCCTTCATTGACTGGTCTAGTCTACACTGGGGGGCCCAGTGGAAACCAAGCTTAGCAACAGATTGTTAGAGTTTGGTCCGATGTACGCCTGGGATTGGCCTCAGCTAGACCCTGAGAGGGCCCGAGAGTTACACTGGGCAGCTCTAACTGGACTAGTAGAGGGGGTGAGGTTGGCACTCCCTGGACTGGCATCTTGCTCAGTGTACTCTAGGCTGCCGAACCCTCAGACCTGTGGGGAGAAAACAAAGGGCAGAGGACAAAGCGGAGAAAGTTGTTTGTTGGTTTTGGAGGGGAAAGAGGTAGGAAGGAGGATTAGCATGGGCTTGGCAGGTATTGATACCCCTAATCCTGATCACCAGCCTGCACCTGGTTGGCCCGAAGCCTGGGCCCCTCCTCTTCCCCCTTGTGTCTTGAAAAGGACAGAAGTAGAAATTTGGGAAGTTTGTTTCTCAATGAGGTTGGCACTCAGAGGGCACAAACGGACTGCCATGAACTGGCCAGGGAGGGTGTGTGTGTGGGGGGTCAAACTGGGAAAAATATCTGGGGACAAGAGAGGTCAAGCCAATATGGCCTTGTTGGCTACTCTGGAACGCGGAATGAAAGATCAATGTCTGGGATCACATGGGAGAGGCATGTGCCAGTGGAAGGCGACTTTGAGACAGGCTTCTAAAGTGAGCTAGTGGTGAGCCCAGAAAGTCTTTTTCCCTTGCTAGGGCTCAGTGTCCCTTTTTGGATGGATGTTACAGTGGTTAAGGCATTGACTGGGAATCTTTTTTTTTTTTTTTTTAAATAATTAATGTGGTTTATTTCTAAGCCAGATATGATTGACCTAGGCCCAGAGAAGAGGTGTACATGCCTTTCTCAGGGTGATTATGTACAAGAGTTCCTTTTATTTGATTTTGGAATTTACAGACAAAATTAGTCAAGAGATTTCTACTGGTCTTGCCCAAAGAGGCGGAACATGTGGAAGCAGGGACTTGTAGGTTATAGGTGGGTTCCACAATTCCTAGATTGATGATTGGAAGGGAAGATCTGTGCCATGGGAAGAGATTCACAAAGAAATGCTTAATCTACATCCCAAGGAAAGGGAAGTTCTGTGCCTTCGGAAGAGGTTAGCAAAAGAATATACTGTAATCAGTTGAATATACATCTCAAAGCTACTATGCCAGAGACAGGATGCAGGAAGAATCCTGTTAAACGGGGGTGGGGTGGGGTGATGGGGGGATAGGGGGATGGGAGTGGGGGAGATGATCTGTTAGTGTTTGTGGGCATGACTCTTCCTAGGCCCTCTGGAAAAGATTTTTGAAAAATAGGAAAAAGGGGAACCAGCAGTTAGTGTAATGGCTATGTCGCTGGACTCCCACGTAGTCGACCACGGTTCGCATCCCGGACCCGGTGGCTTAAAACTCACGCCAGGCGCGTGTGCGTGTGTGCCCAAGATCCTGAGAGGAGAATGAAGGAGAAGGGATTGCGGCGTGACCATCCCCCCTGGGGGGTGATTTCTCGCTTTCTGTCTCTATGTCTCTCTCTGTCTGTCTGGCGAGCGCATGTGCCCTATAGTGAAAAACCTCTCCAAAAAAAAAAAAAAATAGGAAAAAGCAGTCAGACTTCTGTCCACAGTCACCGCTGTTGGCTAAAAATCATTCTTCTGAATGTATGTGTAGGCCACAAAATTGACAGGTCCCATGTTTCTAGGAAGGCTCCATCTCTAGTAGTCAGGTCTCATGGTGTTAGGAAGGCTTGTTCTTAGTAGTCAGGTCCCATGGTGCTAGGAAGTCTTATCTCTAGTAATGAGTTTTCACGATGTTAGGAAGGCTCATTCTTAAGAGTCAGGTCCCATTGTTATAGGCAGTGGAATCTTGAGGGAAAGACATGTCTGACTCAATAGCCACTTGTCTCTGGGAGAAGGAAAAAGTCAGTCTGAATCTCCCCCAAGGACAGGCTCAGAGCCGGAGAGGGCACAAAGGGCCCACTGCTGGTACCAAGCTGGGTTCGAAGCATCCCCTTGGAAGATCTCCCGTTCATCTCTGGTCCCTTTGTAGTCATCATCTTGTCAACGGAAAAATAACTAACTGTAAAAATGAATAATTAATAATTAATGTGGTTTATTTCTAAGCAGAATATTAGTGATCTAGGCATACATGCCTTTCTTCTGACTGGGAATCTTAACCTTATGTCTTCTTTGCTGTGTGACCTTCAACAGATGACCTCACCTCTCTGAGCCTTGTGAAGCCACTTATGGCACCTATCTCTTAGGCTATTTCAGTGAAGAGTATTTGGGTCAATGCCTGTGAAATACAGGTGGTCAAGCGCTCAGTAAATATGGGATGTTCTTGTTATTAATCTGTAGGTTAAAGGAGATGGTAAAGAGGCTCTC